CTCAAGTTTATTATCTACTAAATGTAAAATATCTACTATAGTTATATAATCATTGTTATAGTTCATTGTGCTATTATTGTACGGATAAAAATCGTGAAATAATAACTGCATAATCATCATTTGTCATCCATGATTAGTTTCTCTCGTATCGAGCTATCCAATTATCTCCATGAATACCGCATAGCTTTACGATAGAGTATAAACCAAAAGGGATAATGAAACTACATTCATGATACAATCGTATCAATATACATGTATCCAGAAACATTATCCACAAAGATTTATTGTCGATTTTGAGCTTATTAAATGCAAATGACGTTACATTCTACTCACACGATAAGATAATTACTATTATATATTATTTCTGTATATTCATTATGAACACACATTGAGAAATATATACGTGTAAGAAATCCTTTCGAGGATTATAATAGAATTAACATATTACCGCTAAAAGAATTAATGTTTTAAATCTTGATAAAAGCACTGATATTTAAAACGTGCTTGAAATTGAACAAAAACTTCATGGAATTAAAAAATTGCAAACGCGGCATCTTTTTATTTTAGTACAACTTAATTTTAAAAGAATTAAAAAGTCTCTGTATAAGAGCAAAGTTCATTACTGGTAATTGGTAGTATATTTTGCTACCAGTTTGTCGAATTGCGACGAAGAAACGATATCGAGGATGTTTTTATTAGCGTTTCTAACGGCATTGCAATTACAATCGCCGGGAATTCGAGATGCACATCCACATAAGCGATTGCATTCGATTTTCATGATAGAATTCTCTCTATCTCTAATTAAATAATTCTCTATTCTCTAATTAAATAAAAATGTTAATCTCTATTTAAATAAAAATTCTCTCATAAATATACTCACTCGTGCAGACGCCCTCGTCAACTTCTCGACTGCGAGTTAGCAAATTCATGATTACGCATTGTAGACCGACAGCGCAGGTTCCCGAAAAACCAAAGAGGCCGCCGCAAGGCTCGCCTTCCACACGCGCGCATACTTTGCAACACCTGCAGACACATAAAACTCGGTCAATCGTTTTATATACGTATATAGGGAGGATATAAGCTGTACACACTCAATACACAAATCAAGTCAGTTTACGCGCGACAGGCAACTTCAAGCTCATAAAATAACTCGAGCGAAAAGTTATAATTGGACCACTGCGTGTTATATGCATTTTTGCGTGGCAATAAAATTATACATAAGTCCGATGTTTCATACGTTCGCCTTTAGTATGCAAAATATTAAAATGAGAAAATAATGTATAAAAAGAAGATTTTTACTTAATTCTCGCCGTTATATAAATTTTGCACATGTGAACGAAAATGAGAAAAGTTAGTTTTTATATGATATAAACGAATGATATTATTAATTGCTATTGTTACTCGCCAAGTAACGGAAATATATTCAGCTTTCAGCTTTACTTCAGAATCACTAAGACTCAATCTTCCTTTTTTTTTTATCGACGAAAAACGAATAATGAAAAATTGTGGTAATATACAACGATAAGACGAAACAAATAAAAAGTGGCAACATGCGCATCGTAGCTAACTAGTTTACTTTGATTCGAATGTACGGCTATTTGTTTTCTTGTAAGAAATCCTGCGAGCGACAAGAGGATACAAATGTTTTAAAATATGAAGCACTCTTTATATATTTTTCTTGAATTCACGAAATAAAAGGATTTCGTATATGTTTCTTTTCAAAATCAATTAGAACAATGATGTGAGTTTACATTGATTTAAAAATGATTAAAAGTGATACAAATCTGTTATTATATTTGTCAGGAAATAAAAGTTTCGAGTATCAGCTTAGCGAAAAATTTCTTTAGCCAATTATGTGTAAATATATAATATATTATGTGTAAATATATAAAAATGACATACATTTTGAATAAATTTATCATAAAAATTTTCACATTTTAAAACATTGAACAGAAAGAATAATTTTAAGTGTTTTTGAAGTGTCTTTATAAATTTAGCTAAGTACAGATCTGAAAATAAATTTTATTCGACTGTTGAAATAATTATGTAGGACACTCAAGCTGTTTGCCATGTCAAAACTTTTTGTAGCATTGCTCATCACACATTTGAGTTTTTTGAAAATTATTTTTATCCAACAAAATTACTTACAAATCTACCTACTTTTTTAAATATTACCCCTATTAACATTAGCAACAAACATTTAATTTAACCCGTAGTCTTTTTTGTTTACTTATTTCTATTTTAAATTATTTAAGCTGTCTGTATATTGTTAATTGTTTATCTTTATTAACCTGGACCGAAGCACCATCGCAAATCAAATTCGAACCTGGTCAAAATATTTAATATTTCAGTAAAATCGTTCTTTCTCCATATGAAAATAGAATAGGATTTTAAATATTGTACTTTGGCGTCTATGGCCAGATTTATTATATTATTTGGCATTTAATATTTCAAATTCATTTTCAAATTTTATAAGAATATACGGAAAAAAATATTTTGAAAAACTTAACTAAATATAAGTCTGAAAATAATAACTTTGCTAGGTCGTCAAAATAAGTATGATGAGTAATACTGCAACAAATTATAACATTCTAGCTATTAAGTTTGAACGTTCTACATAATTATTTTAATGATTCAATAAAATTATTTTCAAATTTAGCTGAATTTTTAGACACTTCAACAAGGTCGTTCTTTCTATGTGAGCACGTATAAAAATACATATTTATTACTCTATCGAATTTATTATAACTATCAACAATTGTTACAATATTTGTAATCTTTCATAAGACATCATGAGATTTACAATCCGACGTGTAAATCCTTGTGCAGTGACATTTGCATTTTTATTTGGAAGAAAGACTTGGCTTGAACCGAGATGTAAGAAATTGAGAAGCTTCTACATATTATGCAAGTGCATATCACTTTTGCGAGCGGCACGCTCAGCAGCACGGAGGATAGTCTTACGAAGTTCTGAGAGAAAAAAGAATGGGAAAGAATTTCAAGGTGCAGCCCGCGGCGTACCGCACGGAAAATAATCTCGCGGAAAATTGTCAACTGCAACCAGGAATTTTATTACGCCGTCCCAGCAGCAGCAGTGAGGACGAAGAGTGTCTTCCTTCTATGTGTTCCTTGCTGCTTTCCGTGAAACAATCTACTTCCATATAGCTTTTAGTCCTGCACATTCTTATAAGATGCAAGAACGTAATTTATGGGGAAAAAAGTAATCAGAAGACTAAAAGTTAATATGAAAATATACAATTATCATTGTAAACTTTAACTAATCAGCGATGTTGTAATTATATTAATTCCATTATAAATATGTACGTGCAATTATTATAAAATTATTATGTTTTTAAATTTTTAAGGCATTTCTACGAATCTATATATTTTTAATTCCATATGCTTTAGAAATATTTTAAATATCAGGAAATTGTGTTTAAAAGCATACCACAAATGCGTTTCATATTATTTGGCGTAATTAATGTGTAATCGCTTTTAGGTTGATAGATCGGAATAAATCTGGAAAAAGATTAATGAACCGTATGCTTTCAGTTATGCACTTGTGTTTGTATGACAATAAAAAAAGGATAATTTGTTCTGTTTGGCAATTGCTAATTCGCATATCAGCTGCCATGACCAACAATGGCATTACATGCTAAATATTTTCCGATAAATTTCCGATACACTGCTGAACGTGGAGTTTCATTCCGTGTTCCACATACCCTTTCGTATATAATCATTATTTCATGGAAAAACATATAGTCGTATTTGCCGATTTCCACCAAGCGTGAATTTCAAATCGCATTGGCTGATAAGAAAATAGTTTCTCTTACCAACAGTCGCGGAAACAATGCGGGCCTGAGAAATATCACAAAGTGTACGTCAGCTTTTTTTAGCAACTTGAAAGTTTCATTCCTTTCGAACCAAAGAGATAAAAAGTGATTACTTCTCTTTATCGTAAATTTGAAATAAAATCGCGAGATCTGATAAAAGAAAGACAACGTTTGACAAAAATTGTTCGAACGCAACGAAAAATAATTGCAAAAAGTACTCACGAATAGATACTACAATGCTATAACTCTTCGAAAATACATTTTGTAAAATACATACAAAAAGAAATATCGTTATATTTGAAAAATGTTGCATTATTTGATTTACTTAGGGTCCAGAATACGATCGGGTTTCCCTGCATGATGGGGAGTGAAAATTTCTACAGCAATACAATCTGTAACGATGTGACCCTTTTCAATACGAAACGATGAGCTTGCGTTCGATGAGATTTGCGAATATATACTCGATTCGCGATATTCGATCATGCATTGCACCGGCCAAAGCCGCAATCGAGACAACGATACGAGATTCAGATTCCAAACGATCTGAAACCGATGTTTAACGTTATACCGTTTGAATGTTTACGAGGAGAAGAGAAATTTCATCGAAATATGTTACGCGCGAACAGCTCTATAGCGAGTATGGCAGTTGCATCCGCGAAATTATATTATATGTGTCTCTCCCTCGTATCGCGATATCGAGACATTGCATACAAATGAAGCAATATTGGAGTGCAAAAAGATAACATGCGTGATATCAACGTTATCTTTAATGACGACACAAATATCAACACCGTGATATTGCATCTCCACACCGACAAGTCTTATTGACGCTCGGAAAATTTGCATAAAATCACACGCTCACCATACGTAAGAATTTGACTTGAAATAAAACTTTTCTCTCTTCAAGCTACTTCGTCGTCATCGAGATCACTCGAATATCTTTCAGTATCGTATCGAACGTTTCAATGGTCTGTCGTCGTAACGGTCTTCCGCCTATCCTTCTAAATCGCTAAAACTCCCGTAAGAACTTCTGGAAATTCCACAGAGCAATAAACGTTAGATACACCTATTGAATTCGCAAAGGTCCTTCTCAGGAAAGATGCCATAACTGTTCTGGAAAAATCTTTCTCTACTTCCGCGCACGCGTGCATCGCTTCCTTTGAAATTCAATTCCGACGTTCTCGAATCAGCATATTGTACGTATCGACGCGCGCGACTGTATTATAGCGCATATGCTGAGATATCGAGAAAATACGCAGGGCGAATAAGACCAGGTACAGAAGGTGGTTGGAGAAGAATGGCAGAACGCTTAGTGGCTAAACTATTGAATTGCGTAAAGAAGATTTTATATGAATTCCGTAAAGAATCCACTTTTGCAATCCAAGTATCGTAAAGTATCGCAAAATAGCGAAACGTCGTAAAAATCATAAGGATTTACCAACGATGCGAATATCCGCCTATATTCTCCTCAACGAAATTCACATTCGCATCTCTCATTCAAAGATTTAATCTAACGCATAAATCACAGCTCGATCTCAATCCACAGTTCTCGATTCGGCGCGATTCTTATTCGATTCTCGCACAAGCATCAATCTTTGTCTCGCACTTGAAAAGCAATTACGCTGAAATTGTTCATCTTACGAGTAACTTTCTCGATCGTAAAAGAAGAAAAAAGGAAGGAGGAGAAATCTCAATCTCAACCGCACATTTCTAACGCTTCGAGTAGCTGTGAGGAGAGCCGCGGTTTGAAGAGCCGTCTTATCCGCCCTCTACTCGTGAATATAGAAGAGATGAAAGGCTTTCTAATTGCGTATTGTGTAATGTACCTAGCCAAAGTGCCTGAAACGGCTCTGGATCGTCCAAGTTACCCTGCAAGCACATATCTAATAGAGATATTTAATCAAG